ATTTATCCTGTGCTGTTAATATACCAACGAACCTATTTAAATAATCTATCATAATAGATTATAATCATACAGATAATAATTATAATCACAATATTGAATTTGCCTAAACTCTAACAACAGCTATATAATCTATCCTGTTCTGTCAACGTATCAACAAAACCTGTTCGAATAATGTATTACAATAATGAATTCGCTTAAACTCTAATAATAACTACATATATAATCTATCCTATATTCTGAATCTATCAGAATCTATCTATATAAAATCTATCATAAAAATCTACTGTTATACACGATAACATTGTAACGTTAATCATCTATTTACTAAAGTCGCAATTCATCTGAATTCCATCAAATCAATTTAAACAAATACCCATAGATTTCTACATTATCAACGCAGGTAAAAATCGCTTATAATACTTTTAGAAGAGCAAATTCGGTGTCGCCAAAGTTAAGTCACGTAACCGCGGATAAATTCAATATTCCCCCGGAACAACAAGTCGAAGAACTTCATTGGATCTCGTCTGGCTGAATCCTGGCTATCCCGTATAGTTCTTCATTAATCAGATTGGCTGTTCGTTTCGAGAGACCGGTACGAAATGAGATAGAGCTCCGAAGGATCAACGTTGTCGTAGATACTGAACCGAAAGTATTGGAGAATCCGGAGGCCTCTGTTTCCTGGCAGGAAAAATCACCGGGGAGAAGCGATCGTGCCTCCTCCCTTGGCGGAACTGTCCTCTCGAACATTTTTATTCGTGAAGGGTTCTCCGTTAATAACCTCTGGCCCCGTGTCGTGGCCAAAATATTAGGTTCGCCGACATGAAATGTCCGATTTTATAATGCCGACGTTATGAAGCGGTCCTGATCGAGAAATATCACGCCCGCCGCGTTCACTTTACCTGGAACAGGAAACACCATAATAATCTTTAACGTTGAAGTTGAGAAACATGTTTTCCAAATTAAAAACTGCTACCTCTTTGCGAACCGCCCGTTGCGCTTAATTAAAATCTTTATCGAAAGCTAGACGGATATCATAATTC